GGTAGGTAGAGTAGGGTAGGGGAGCAGGGAGAGGAAGGGTAGGTAGGGTAGGTAGAGTAGGGTAGGGGAGCAGGGAGAGGAAGGGTAGGTAGGGTTGGTAGAGTAGGGTAGGGGAACAGGGAGAGGAAGGGTAGGTAGGGTAAGTAGAGTAGGGTAGGGGAGCAGGGAGAGGAAGGTAGGTAGGGTAGGTAGAGTAGGGTAGGGGAGCAGGGAGAGGAAGCATAGGTAGGGTAGGTAGGGGCAGCAGGAGAGGAAGGGTAGGTAGGTAGGTAGAGTAGGGTAGGGGAGCAGGGAGAGGAAGGGTAGATAGGGTAGGTAGGGTAGGGTAGGGCAGCAGGGAGAGGAAGGCCCTTAAGGCGATGGACTGACACAGTGGCAGCAGCAGTGGGCTCCACAGGAACAACTGGGAGGCACGTACGTGCATGGCCTGCATTGTTTCCTTCCATTATGCATTGGGTAGGACATTGTGTTAGGTAGGGTAGGGGCCCGAGAGGAAAGGTAGGTAGAGTAGGGTAGGGGCAGGAGAGGAAGGGTAGGTAGGGTAGGTAGGGTAGGGTAGGGGCAGGAGAGGAAGAGTAGGTAGGTTGTAGGTTGGGACATACTCCAGGCACCTAACAACAGCAACCTGAAGAGCCCTGGTGGCGTATTTGTTCAGGTTGGGCTGGTAACTGCAAGGTCAGCAGTTCGCACAGACCAGTGCCTGCCAGGGAGTCAGAGTTACAGTCTCAGAAACCTCAGGCCAGGTCCCTCCGGTCCTATAAGGTCACCCTGAGTCAGCATCGGCTCAGTGGTTGAAGGTTGTGAGAGCGAGTGACTCCTTTGGCACTACCACAGCAGTTGAGTAGTTTGGATGTCGATTATCCAGGCCACAAAGTCTAACGTATTTCTTGTGGGACCCTTTACGCTAAAAGGTTGCAGATCTCCGACTTGGAAGGATGAATAGCGCCGTGGGATAGTTGGTTGAGGTATCAAAGCTATAGGAAACTTAAAAGAACGAAGGGCATTTTCATTTCCAGCATCCTAGGCAGGCAAGGGACTCTGGTGGTGGAATGGTGGAATGGTGAAATGTTGGGCTAACCACAAGGTCAACCCTTTGGAAGCACCAGCTGCTCAGAGGGAGAAAGACGAGGCTTGCTACCCTTATTAGAGTCTCAGGAACCCACAGGGACAGTTCTACCCTGTCCTGTGGGGTCGCTTTGAATAGGAATGGACTCAACCAATGGCAGTGAGTCTGGCTTTGGTTTAGCGGGCGAGGCTCCCTGGTGGTGCAGTGTTTAAGCCTTCCACTTCTGGGGGGAGTGGTTAAGGACTTTCTGTAAGTGCCTGAGACATGTGGCACATAGCACCGTAGCCATAGCAACCGCAGCTCAAGATTCCTGTGCCAACAAGTGTCAGAGAAAAGATAGAACCACCTGTCTTTGAATGAAGCCCCGACGTCATTCGCCGGTATCCCAGGGGACCTTGTGATGGACTGGACTAGGGGATTGTCCTACCACTTGAGTCCTGGGAATCCTGGTGGCATAGTGTTTACACACTGGGCTGCGAACCGCGAAACTGGCAGTTCAAAACCACCAGCGGCTCCGCGGAAAAAGACGGGACTTTTCTACTACGGTAAAGTCGGCACAGACACAATGGCCGTGAGTTTGGTGTTTCTGGCTGAGCCATGCTTTCCATGCGTCTGAGACTAAGGTTGACGTTTTATGTTGACCTAGGAAGGAAAGCATGCAGTCACTCCTAAGTATTTACATTTCATGTTGTTTCTTAAAAATATTTTCACAGGCAGAAAGGGAGCGACGAGGGACCTGCCTTGGGGACAGAGCAGAGCGCCAAGAAACCTTTGATCCAGTGAAGACAAGCTCATGTTACAGCTGTGTGCTCACCCAGTCCGGCTGGAGACGTGGGCGTGTGAATAGGAACTGAAGATAAAATCGCTCCTCTCTCCTCCTTCCCCGATGGGATGGGGGCCCTTTTTACCTTAGCTGGGCTCTTAGCACCCACCCTGGTCTCTGTCCACCTGCACAGGTCCTTCCCTCACCCTGCTCAGGCCCTGGGCGAATGCCACATAGCCCTCCGTCAGTACACCTTACTTGGCTCCCCCTAATAGCTGTCAGAGAGGAAGGGAGTGAACACTGGCTATGAAGGATCCACCCCGTGCTCTCATTTTGCGCAGGGAACAAGGCTTGGTGGTGTGGGAAAGGAGCCCAGAGGACTGAGAGGCCACAGTCCAAGAGACACTGGGCCAGAAAGGAGAAGAGGAGACCTCATCAGGAGAAGAGCCACAGATGCGTGGGTGCCTACAATAGCGGATAGGGGTCCCATCAAGGCCAATCCGTGATGAAGGATCAATACAAACCGCACACCCTCGACATTGCTCTATATCGCTTCTCTGTGAGTCCGACAGTAAAGCTACCCCCTGAACTGATGACAGGAATCTACAGGTAACCCCCTCCCTGGGGGACGGACAACAGAAAAGTGGGTGAAGGGAGACATTGGACAGTGTAAGACATGACAAAATAATAGTAATTTATAAATTATCAAGGGTTCGTGAGGAAGGGGAGCAGGGGGGGGAGGAAGGGGAAAAAAGAGGAGCCGATACCAAGGGCTCAAGTAGAAAGCAAATGTTTTGAGAATGATGAGGACAACAAATGTACAAATGTGCTTGGCACAATGGATGTATGTATGGATTGTGATAAGAGTTTATGAGCCCCAATAAAATGATTTAAAAAAAAAGCTACCCCCAAATAAAATCTGTATTTCTTGCAAAGACCAGCTACCCCATGAAACTTTTCAAGGAAATGGTGAAAGGTTTTTGTTTGTTTGTTTGCTTAATCCTCTCGGTCATAGAAACATTTCTTCTTAGACCAAGAGTGAACATTTAGGAGATTCTTCGTGAGAAAGGAGAACAGAACAAACAGGGCTGTCTTTCTTCTTATCCAGGTCAAATTCCTCGAGGCACCTGGAGGCTAAGAACTAAAGAAGTGCTTAACTCTTTGTAGTGGAGGAAAAACACTCACTTCAGCCGGCTATTCCAGAGCTTCGGGAGGTAGGACACAGGCTTTAGCTTTTCAGTGTGTGTTTCCTATAGTTCAAACACACACGACTGGTCTGAGTGTTTGTCGCTCAACTAGTTGGCACACTTTTTTTTTTTCTAAAATAATTTTTTTAGTGACATATCTTACTTATTCCAGTATATCTCTTCCCTTCTCATACAGTCCCATCAAGTGGGGTTATACAATCATCAGTGTTATCAATTCCCCTCTCCCCCCCTTTACTTCCTGTCCCCTCTCTGCCCCCCTCCACACTTCTCGTATCCTCCGGGAACCAGTTACTCCTGTTAGTGTCTCTGAGGGGTCATCTCTCTTGACTGACATGTAGCGAGCAATCTTAAGTGAACAATTGAATATACACAAGTCTAACATGACCAATGAGGCTTATCACATACGGAGGAAATCTTAAAGAACTAGAGGATAGTTATGTGGTTCATCAGTGCCATACGGTACCCTGTATTTATCTTCCATTCCGTGAGGCCCTTCTAAGAGGGATTGTCCAGTGATCTTGCTGGTGGACTTTGGGTCTCCACTACATCCAGTCCCTTTCTTATCAATTTGGATGGGTGTTTTTTGAACTTGTGACACTTCTTCCTGTCAACCCCTCATGATCCCACAGGCTGGTGTGGTGCTTCCACCTGGGCTCTGGTGCTTCCCAGCTAGATGGCCGCTTGCTGAAGTGTGGCACACTCTTCAGGGGCGAGCTCCCGTGCTTAATCACGTTTGCATTCCCACCAAAATGATTTGGTTCTAGTCCATCGGAGATGCAGTATAAAGACTTGTTTAATGAAACAGAAGTCACATGGTTTAAAGATTAGGCAAAGGATAGTAGCCAATCGGATAGCAATGATTTGCTCTCTGATGGTTAGCATGATAAAAGATACTTTGAAAAAGACTATATTCTTGGAGCACTGTCCCTGGCAAATAAGTGCACCACGAATATGTTTTTAATTAGTTACTCTGGTTTTATCTGGACTACTTTCCTGGCCAAATGCCTAGAAATCTTGAACTTCAACTAATTACAGTTACAATGGAGGGTTTGCATTAGTAGGTTAACCAAAAACATACCAAACCCGTTACTGTGGAGTAAATTCTGACTCATAACAACCCTCTATAAAGGGTTTCTGAGCCTGCCCATCTTTGTAGAAGCAGACTGCTTCATTTTTCTCTCAAGGAGTTGTTGGGTTGGAAATAGATCTTTTGGTTGGCAGCCCAGTGCTTAGCCACTGCGCCACCAGGGCTGTTATTCTGACACATAGCAGCCCAGAATGGTTCCCTACAGTTTCTAAGGTTGTAGAATTAGACTGCCACATCTCTTTTTTCTGCGCAGCAGTAGGGGCTGGGTTCAAACTATCAACCTTGAGGTTAGCAGCTGAGCATTTAACCAGCAGGGTGTTTGAAGGTAAAGAACAATCAAACCCAAAGCACAAAGACAATGAAAATACTCAAAGTCCTTTCCCATCTTTTCGTGATGCTTGGCTAAAAGGCAAGCGTAAATGGTTATGCCAGGGGCTTAAGTGGAGAGCAAATGTTTTGAGAATGATGAGGGCTATGAATGGACAAATGTGCTTTACACAATTGATGTATGTATGGATTGTGATAAGAGTTGTATGAGCTCCTAATAAAACGATTAAAAGAAAAAAAAAGAAATCTACAACTAAAATTTTTAAAAAATCGAGGCACAGGCAAATACTTAGTAGTACGTGTACAATGCAGAGACTTGGCAGCGGCAAAGAAGGGGGTATGCTATGAAATGAAAACTTGGCACCCTGAATTTAAGCCGTGTTTAAAAGTGAAAATGGGAAAGATGCTGTACATTGTAATTAGCATGTTAAATTGATAATGCAGGCTCGAAAACTCTCTGACACTCAATAAGGATTTTTTTAAGCTTGAAATGGCTATTTTTAGAATAAGTCCCAAACAAAGCAGGCATGTTTTGACTCTCCTTTTTTCTTGTGTGCTGTTTTCACCACAACCCTGTGGTATGGAGGTCCAACTAAAAATGATCAGAACGTCTATCTATCATCTGTCTGTCTGTCTGTCTATCTATCTATCTATCTATCTATCTATCATCTGTCTGTCATTTTTGGAGCATCTACATCATCTATTTTGTAATTTTTGAAACATTTTATTGAGGGCTCTTACAGATCTTGTAGCAATCTGTACATCAATTGTATCAAGTACATTCGTGTGTATGTTGCAATAATTAATTCTTCTAGACATTTATTATTGAGCCCTTGGTTTCAGCTCCCCCACTCCACCCCCCACAACCCTCCCTCCTATCCCCACCTTTCTAGCCCCTTGATAAATTATAACTTACAATTATTTTCATATCTTACACTGACAGCTGTCACCTTTCCCCCATGGTTTTGTTTGTTCATCCCCCTTGGCAGGGTGGGGGGCGGGGGTGGGGGAGGGGACGGTTATCGAGATCTATTCCCCCTTCCTCCCTTCCTCTCCACACCTTCCCCCTGCCCTGCTGGCATCACTACTCCCATTCTTGTTCCTGGATTCCGTGTGTCCTGAGCTCTTACGTCTTATCTGTACCTGTCTGAGCATCTATATTATGATTACTTCAACAAGAACAACAAAATTTTGAGAACTATAACTAAAGTTCACTAAGATATGGATCCCTAAAATGTATCAGTTTTGTTTTATAGATTATAAAGGTAATAAAGGCACATAGGGAATCTGGAAATTTCAACAAAGTATAAAGAAGAAAAGAACAATATCCAGTTAACCACATTCTGATCCAACTCACTAGCATCTTTTACTCATTTGGAGTTTTGAAATTGCTTCCTAAACAGCCAGCCCCTGCGTTCATCTCTACACAGCCCAGCAGTCAGGGAGATCTGACCCAAATGTTGGTAAGGTCATGCTAGCGCCCAAACGCTGCCCTGTTCCTACATCACTCTGAGGGCAAGCTTAAGGCTGGACAATGGCCCATGAAGTCAACACGGTCACCCTTTGCCCTGCTGCCAGCGTTTCTCTGCTCTTATTCTTCCCTGATGCTTGGGTCCCACCAGCCCTATCGAGTTTGTTTTCAGAAGGAGATCCCAGGCGTCTCTTGTGAGGTGCCTCTGGGAAGCTTTGAATAGCTAACCTTCACTTAACCACTTGTACCACACGAAGGCTTTACTGACGTTCTTACTGCTCTTTAATCAGGGATGCTCCTCATCCCCAATCCTTCTGCTTGGAGCATTCTCTACCTAAACAGGCATGGAATCCCCTGACCGCTGGGTTCTTTACCTGAAGAGTCAATGGAACAAGGAGGGAAAATACTGGGGTGGGGAACAAAATAATTTAACAACAGGTTTGCTGCCCTAATGACTTTTTTAAGTATTAAAAAATGATATATTGTACAATACTGCTTCATGTGATTGAACTACGGAATGATATTATGTCTGTATTAGCTCCCAATAAAATGGTTTTGAAAAAAATGATATATCAAAAAGTAGCTTATTATTTCATACTTTTAATACTTAAATAAGAACAATAAAAGAACTACACAAAAGACTTTGCCATGAGTTGAAAAATATTAAAGAATACCTGACAAGAAGAATAAAACTATTATTTGAGATATTTCCATATTACTTCTGCATTGGCGTCCTCACTTGCAAGAAATAATTCTCACTTTTATCTGAGAATCATCGACTGCGATTTATCCATAACCGTCTTTTCTCTGTAGGATGAGGATCCTGTTCCTTTAGAGGTAGGTCAATTGGACACTAGTCATTGTATTTGAGATATTAGAAACAGGTGACTTCTCTTCTCTAAACAGGTACATCTTTGAAAAACTCCTTTCTGCTTATGCTGAATGTATACCAATTGTTTTATCAATATTTTTAGCTCTTTGAACTCTCTCAGGAATTGCATAATTTACTCATCAGATCTCAAAGGCATCTGGGATATAACACACAGCTGAAACAAATGACAATGTGTCACCTGGTTGTCTGGCACGTTTCCTCTTTACCATATATACTTGTTTACTGAAGTAACGAACGCAAGGGAGTAAACTGTAATATTTCATCAAAAGCATAATGAGTTTCATGAAATGAACAAACAATATTACAAGCACAGTTCTGTCTAATTTCTTATACCTATAGACAGAATGAGCATTATTGTAGGTGCTTAGAGCACTGTTGCGCAGATGAACGTTAAAAAGGATTAAGGAACTTCAATTTGTGATTTCCAGCTCCCCACCTTAGAAAGGAGCCTGTTTACAAGTGCCATTTTAATGACAGGTTCACTGAACTCAACCAAAAAACTAGTTATCGGTTCTTCCAAACCGATGCACAATGTCTGAATGCCACACTGCCCTAAAGGCTAAAAGGGCTTTTAAAGCCTGCTCAGATAAGCTTTAAAAAAAAATACAAGTGCTATTTGCATAGAATGTACATATTTGGCATGATAAGTAATCTAGATGTGATGTGAAGCATACCAGAAGGTGGCACGTTACATGCATATACTTTATCATTTACCTGGAGACTTGAGCATTTGGTATGGGTGAGAGTGTGCTCGTAGGACCGAGCCCCTGTGAGCACTGAGAGGAAACCAAATCTGCCAGACTCTCTGCTGTGTGTCTTTGAGGCTTTCTTTCAAACGTCTTCTTTTCAATGGAGTATTTCCTCTTGCTAGACGCCACCAAACTGCAACATCTCTATCCTCGGCTGCTGCTCGATTAGCATCACATAACATCGTACATAGTTTGTACTACATTGCATGTTAGTGGGACTTTTGTTTCATGTTAGCTGTGGCATTCGTTTTCTAACGACGGTAACAAATCACCCCCAAACATAGTGGCTCCATGCAGCCACCATATTGATTCTCTCATGCTGTCAGCGGGTCTGGGGTTTGCAAGATGCGTGCCTGGATGGTTCTGACTCAAGCTTTTTCATACGGTTTTATTCACAGGTTGGCTGGGGCTGAGGCATTTAAAAGCTTGGCTGGGGTGAAGGGATCAGTTTGAAAGTAGTTCACTCACATGACTGGGTGCTCACATTTAAAGGTGGGATTTGGAAAAGAGATTGAGTGGGTAGCAAAATTGGAGCTCTAGTCCTAACTTTAAAAAATTACAGTAGTGGACTGTACAATATTTCTCATTTTTGTGATTGACGTATTCCATTCAGCACAATGTCTTTCTCACTCACGTTTTGTGGACTCATTGTTTTTATAGTCCCACAGTATGCCATAGGATGTAGGTACCACAAGTTGTTAATCCAGGCATCCGTTGATGGGCACTTAGATTGTTTCTATCTATTTGCTAGTGTGAATAATACTGCAGTGAACACAGGTTTCACTCACTCACTGCCATTGAGTTGAAGCTGACTCATAGTGCAGCTATAGGACAGAGTAGAACTGCCCCCAGGGGCAGTTCCCAGACTGTAACTCTTTACGGAGTAGAAAGCTTCCTCTTTCTTTCTTGGAGCAGCTGATGGTTTTGAACCGCTGACTTTGAAGTTAGCAGCCCAACAACACACAGCCACGATGTCAGCAGGGCTCCTTGAGCATACCGCATACACTCGAGTATAAGCCCACCTGACTATCAGCCGAGGCACCTAATTTTACCACAAAAACTGCATAAAAAATGGGCTGAAAAACTTGGCTTATCCATGAGGATATATGGTAAGTTTGTATGTGTCTATTTGTCCTAGGAATGAGATTGTTAGATCATTAGGCATTTCTAGTTCTAGTTTTTTTTCTGTGCATGTTATTTTCCAGAGTGGTGGTGCCGTTTTACAATCCCACCAGCAATGTGTTAGTATTCTAGTCCACGCAAAACCTCACCGGCATTTGTTGTTTTCTCACTCTGTTTTCACACTTTGAAGAGTTCACAGAGATAGAATACTGAGATATTCATTCCAAGCCAGGGTACCTTTTTTTTTTTTTTGCCAAGGGACTATTAACTGAATTCTTTGACAGCTAGGTTATTTTGACTTGAATTACCAGGACTTTCCAATATTGATATGAGTTTATACAAGTTTGTTTCCTTATCAATAATCCTAGCTCTCTTTTTTCCCCTCCCTCTACCACACTTTACCTACTTTGAAAACATGTTCAGATAAGATATTGCATCTTTCCAAACAGTGTGTAGAACTGTTTAGTAGAAACCTATGTGGGTTTAAACAAAGAACAAAACGTAGACTGTAGGGTTTTTAACAATGTGCTCTTGTCTGATGACTGAAGACAAAAGAAAAGTTTGGCTCTAGTTTCTGAAAGTTACAATCTGAGAAATGACTGTGGAACTGGATCATTGAAGTTCTTTGAGTCCGAGTCTGAGAATACCTGGCATGGAACCTCTGTCACTTGAGCAAGTCCCTATAACTCTTTGGGTCTCAGGTGCCTCCTTGGGAGACAGATTGTACAATCCTTACCTTAGCAATGGCAATCAGGGAAATTGAAATTGCCTATAATATCAACTCCATACAATCAACACTTTTCATGAGATATCCAAATGATAAGACATTCCTGTGGTTAATAAGTCCCAATTGCAGAAACCACAGGACTTGGTGAAGGAAGAAAGCAGGTTACAAATGGGGAGCACCTTGGACTTGGGACTCTGGAGATTGGGGCTATGTCCTTGACTGTGGCACTGGCCTCTGCAGCTATCTGGAACCCATGCTCACCTTGTTCCTTGCACTGGTAAAACCAGATGATTAGATGCTTATGATCCACCTTGGAGTTGCTAAATTGGACAACTGGAAAATATGCCTTACAGAGAAAAAGGTTGTGTACAAGCCCTCATAAAACAATATTAATGCACACGGTGATCGTTCCTTATTCTGTTGCTATACTTAAAGATTTCTATGGCTAGATCTATATCTTATCAGTGCTGCACAGTATTGATTGACAGAGTCTGGTTCGTGGAAGAGGAGAGTAGGGTTTGAGCATGCTCTGTTGCAGAGGACGCCTAAAGGGACCAACTGGTTCAAGAGGGAAGTGGAGGTGAACCCGTATACTAAATCAGGATTCCTGGGTTCTTGGCTCAGCGTGAATCTTCCTTTAGATGTTTCCACCTGATGGCTGTGATCCTGGAGGCTGAGGCATTTGGTTAAGGAGAAGGCACGCAAGCCAATATGGAGCATCAATGAGCAAGTTTGTGGGCCCGTTTGTTTGAGGAAGCAGTTATTTTTTTGAAAAATAAAATAAAATCTACAAGAAATATTGTAAGAATAGTATCATGAGCACACAAATAGACTTACCTAGACTCACCAATTATTATTAACTTTAACAGTTTTATTGATATACAATTTAAACATCACATAATTCAAGAGTTGAAACATAATAAAAAGAGTTGTGCAATCATCACCACAATCAGTTTGGGAATGTTTTCTTCTTTCTTGTCCTCATTGTTATGAGCTCCCCATTCCATCCCTCCCCTTCTCAGTGATGACCCTAAAACAAACAAAACCAAATCCAAGACTTACTGCCATCAAGTTGATCCCAACCCTTAGTGACCCTGTAGGGTATGGTAGACCTTCCCATGGGTTTCCAAGAGTGTGTCTCTTTAGGGGAGTAAAACGCCTCATCTTTCTTCAGTACAGAGGCTGGTGGTTTGGAACTGCTAGATCTGGTAGACTCACCAAGTATTGACTGAGACTAGGGAAGTCTACCATCTTCAAGGCTGGTCAGCCCTAATGCTTTGGAACCCACCTCTTCTATGCAATCTCAGTGCTATTAACACATCCAAGAATTATAACATCAGCTCAGTGTCATCTGCATATGATCCAGGATTACATTTCCCTAGTTGTTCCCAGAACATCTATACCGCTTTTAAAAATCAAAGTTCACAAGTTGCGTTTGCTTGTTACATGCTTCCAGCCTTTAAACCCTGCCACTGCCAGCTGTCTTCTGGTGGGCCCTGACCTATGGTAACCCCATGAACAAGTGAATGTAAATCTATCCGAGACTTGATCATATGATCACTGGTGGAGCCTATTGTTGTGACTCTAGGGTTTTTTCAGTGGCTGCTTTTTGGAAGTTCTTCAGGCTTTCCTTCTTAGTCCCACTGGGAAGCTGCTTGCATAAACGGGTCCATAAACCACACTCACCGGTTCAAATGGATGCCAATTCATTCCCTCAGGGAGAATGAGTAATCAATAATAATAATAATAATAAATCCTGTAATCACAATCCTGGCAGACCACAGCGTCCTGTTTGTCACTGGGAACCGGGAACACTCAGTATTCTTGGGGAACAAGGCTGCTCTCTGCAGTTAGTTTCACCTTCAGTCTTACGGAAGCAAATATCGCCATCCATAAAAGATGTGCTCAAAACTTTTTTTCTTCTTTCCATTCTGTGGAAGAGCAGCAGAGCTTGTGACCAAGTATTAACCACAGGGTGGACTCCCTCACTCAGCTCGCAGAGTTGGGGGGTGGGAGGGGGGGGAGCTG